TTCTCGTGTGAGGGTGCCAGTTAAGGAGAGGGGGGGGGGGGGAGAGAGAGACAGAGACAGAGAAAGAGAGAGAAAGAGGTGCTTTTCTTTTCAGAATGTGAATACCCTCTGGCCGAGAGATTCAGAATACAACATGTGTACATTGCGTAAAACTGCAATTCTATTCTTACTTTTTCGCCAAAGCGGTAAAATTTGTAGCAAATTCAAAGCTGACCACGCTGATTTTTTTTTTTCATTCAACTATCTTGGGTAGCGGTACTTTTAAAGATATACCTTATTTTGTAACACAGTGCGTAAAAACAAAGTTTGGAGAAAACTTCATTTCCTAGCACATTTTTAACCTTTGGTGACGTACAAGTACAATATGTTTGAAAAATAACAAATAAAACATATTTATACTAAAAGCATAGTAAAATCCTTTCAATATATACGCTATTAAGTAATGGCTAAACATGTGTTTTCTGATGGAACAAAACTTTTGACAGGTACGACTTTTTGGGCCTTTTCACCCAGTTGCTTAAAATAGCATTGCCGACAACTGGGACCTTTCTCTAGGCACACTCACATATATATAAACATGTACCGGTTCTTTGTATGTATACTACAACACACATATGTAATATGTGAGGCGTCGTGGTGAAATCAGGCGCTTGTCAAAATAACTAAATCGGAGATAGAGGCATTTTTTGCCAGTTTGGCAATTTTTATCTAATGTTGGTTTTTTTTTAGCTCAACCCCTTATATTATGTCCATAAACATTTCCTTGTGAATTTTTCGGAAAACCCTTGATTAAAGGCACAAAATATGTCATTCTTCTGTTTTCAAGGACTCATAAACCATTGGAGTTACCGCAAACTTTGACAGCCATTCTCTCGCTAATTTCACCACTGAAACCAGGAAACTTCACCGTTTTTAATTGAAAATATCTTGACTTCTATTCAGAATAGATGGGCATTTTTCTTTCATTGAAAGTAAGGCAAATGAATAAACTTTCAGATGATACCAATAACTCCACAAGCCCCAAAATTGCCGAGCACCTGACTCCACCACATCGTGACACATAGACACATTCACGTGGTACGTAGTGCTTCAGATCAGCATGAGGATAACCTAATAACAGACTTCTGAAATTTTTTTCTTACAATACAGTACAGTGGCAGAAATGGTAGCCGGTCACCATGGAAGATATGCAGAGGTACAGGGTTCAAATCTGAGATTTCGCAGAGGGATCCCAGCAGGGTACCATTTAAACCTGTCGTTGAAAAGAATGACGTTTTGTTTTAAAGAAGTCGGCCTGAAATCTTTCTAATGAAGAAAAGCAAATTTGCATATATACAAAGTGGGCCATGTCTCTATCCAGTTCATCTTCAAGTTCCAAGACCTCCACCACAGCCCCTTTGAGATGCTACTATATGTACTACTACTACCCCCTTCACAATAAATACACCATTTTATCACTTTTACCCTCAAAGAATACTTTGGAGTCTGCAAAACACATTTGAGAAGCGTGCTGACAAATTGAGTTACTTCTCCGATTCGAGCCCTATGGAAATAGATGCACCATGCTTATAATTTTATAGGTGAAATTTTTACAATTTATTATATCATAAGTATGGAATAATAAAAGGCAGGTAATACTTAAAGAATATGGCATGCCGCATCAATAGAAAATCTACAAATTTGACCCTTGCGTTTATTTTTGGCCAATATCTACTTCTTCTACATGTGTGGTTTGCGAGAAGAAACTCGTTTTGTCCGCACGCCTCACATTTATCTAAAAACTGCGGTAGACAGAAAGGAAATAAAATCCTCATCTTTTCTTCAATATGAACAACTTTTCTAAACCCCCCAAAAATCCAGGGGTTCCGCAGATTTTGGTTTCAGCAAATTCCACTGAAATATAAAAATATTTGTCGAGTAAAAACAAGCACACATAGGTTCATCACTTTCGTTTTTATTTCTGTACCAGTTACGCTAAAACAACTGAAAAACATTGACTTACACATCCACACAATGTACACATCTCTCTTTCAATTTAATAATTATAATAAGGTAATAATAACGACCACCTCGAATAATAATAATGTAATAATAATACATGTAATAATAATGTTGGTATTTTTACACACCCCCATCAACACAATTTAGATCATTTGATTTAGGAGGCGGGCGTCTGACCCTGCCTGTCAGGGCAAACCTAGGCTGAGAGAGATCACAACAACCCAGCAGAAAGATCCGAGATACTAGATAAAAATTTCTCCCCACTCTGGAATCGAACTCAAGTATCCTGCGCATGACAGCAAAGCACCTTACCCTTACCACTACCAGAACATGATATCTTTCAGCTGTGAGGAATTATAATAGGAGTTCAGCCTACTATAAATATAATAACAGTCAAGGCAAGCATCAAAATAAAAGACCTTCTGTACATTTTTGCTTTTTAAGAACATGTCATCCATTCTGTTTACAAAGAAATGCACTGAATACAGAGAGGATGGACATAATTGTTCATGATAACAACAGATTTAATGTTTTTTTAAAATAATTTAATACTAAGAAAAAAAAAGAAAAGGTATAAATTCATTTTATTTTAATATGAAAAAGATAACAACAGATATGTAAGGTGCATGACATTGATGAATCAGCCCATTAAAATTACAATTCTACTGTGCATAAGAACATGGTTAATGTCCCCCCTCTGGGAATGGCCTAAGACACTTACTTCAGTCAGTAGCACCGCTGGCAGTTGGCAGGTATTCTGGTTTGCTTCTTCTATCACAATAAAGATAGATCTACTACTATCGTTCTTCTTTTCTATTTGCTATTGTCTTGCAACTCTGATCATTGGCTCTTATAAGTTATACGACCTTAAAGTGTTGTAAGAGCCATAAAACCTCAGCTAAACATATAAACTACTAAACAGACGAAGCACTGGCTTCGGTGGTTCGTGGAGATGTCCTGGTTGTCTTTGGTTTGGGTGTGTGCCATAAAGACGGGTCTGTTTGGAGTAGGTGATTTTTCATGAATTTCAGCTTCTCGATTTCGTCGTTGATGCCATATGATCTTTTCTCCAATTTTGCTCTATATCATCTGGTGGCTGCTCTCTGTGCCCGTGCCTTGCTCACCCAGCAGAATATTGTGTTATGAATTGGATGCAGTGGTGTTCTAAGATGTGTTGTTTGGGGATTGTTTTGTTGGGGAATGTTCTCCTGTATGTGGCCATGTAAGTGTCTACCAGCCTTTGGAGTTCTGGCAGTGTATCTTTGTTGATGGGTCTGCTGTGTGAGATGGCTCTGTGAACGTCACTGTACGTTTTGTTCAGATCGTCAAATGTGAATTGCACTATGCTTGCTTCATCAACGATGAATGGATCGCGTGTGAGACGTCTTGTTTGAGTGACTATTTCTTGTGTGAGATGTTTGTAAACTACTTTGTCAAGGTACTTGTGGCAATGACTTCCAATGAAAGACCTACTGTAAGCTTGTGGTGTGATTCTGTGTGCTTTGAGAATATTGTCAAGGCAGGAAGCAATGGGACCAGATCTAGTGGTAAGTTCAAGGTATGAGAGTTGAGCTAATGTGTGTTCTGTCTGCTCTAACTTTAACTCCTGTGAGTACTGTGCTACCTCCACATCTGTGTGACAAAAAACGATACAATCTTGAAGAATGTCTAAATGAGCTTTAAGCTCGTCAACCTTCCTCCACTGGCCACCGTATTTTTTCACTTTTGCTCTTGCTTCGGTGGCAGAGTCATCCAACTGGGAGACTATCTACCATCTTCAAATCAAGCTTGTCAGCTGCTTCTTCCAACAGCTTGAAGTGTTTCAAGGTTATGCCTGCCAAGATGTGTAAATAGGGAGGGGAAACATGATCTAGATCAATGAGCAAAAGAGGTGGGTGCACACTGTGGTGGTAGCGGCTTGCTTCCTTTTTATCATCCCCACCTTGCTCAGTCAAAAATGCGTTGTTGTCAGCTACGAGTGAATCCAGTGACCGTAGCTGGAACGCCTCACACTGTGCATGTATTCTGTTCCTTGATGTTGGGCACCACAGGCATGGCTATGTACCCTGAGGGCCGGAAAGCCCCAACACTTTACAGAGGAAATCATAGTCACCATGGAGGAAGACTTTGATTGTTTTATTCCTCCATGCGTGGGACTGCAAACTGACGATGTCCTCGACTAGACCCCCTTCCAAAAATCGATGGATGTTTTAATGTAAATGTGTCTTTCACGGATGCCATTGCTATCACTATCACTATAGTGTTGTGTTGAAAATTTGGTGAATGCGCATTTTCTACTTGGAGAGTTACTTTAAACGAATTTTTACCGTGATCCCCACCAACCTTAACCCATATACTTGTTCTTCCGGAATGATGCCATCGCGCCAGGTGAGCATGTCTTTTGATTCATACTCATCGAGCAGATAGCTTAGGAATCGTGGGAGATCTCTTATTCTAGCGAAGGGAGCTTCAGTTTCTATGAAATTGTCCTTAAGAAACAACTTTCCCTTTACAGTTACAAAATCTTCGACAATTTGTTGGGCAAGGTTCTTGTGAGAAACTTCACTTTCAGTCCTAATACCCATGTCTTAAAGGAGTTGGCTGTGCACTCTCCCTTTCATAAAACTCAATCCCAATTCCTCTGTCATAATCAAAGCCTGCTGTGCCGATATTGTCATTTGGCTTTTGGCCCCTGCTTTTTTCCAAATTTCTCGTCTTCTATTCCTAGGGACTAAGTCTAGCTCTGTTGCATGCAGGGAGTCAGCATCTGCAGTTGTACCAGATGTACCAGATGTAGGCTACCTGATGTACCCTTCCTAATCTTATTTACCAACTGTGCTTTTTTTTTTTTTTTGTCGGAGTCCTAGCACTGGTTGTCGGCTTCCTTCGTAACGACGATTTGTGAAATACAAGCGGCTGCCCCTTTGTCTTTTAAATGTCTTCCCCTTTGGATCGCTGTAGAGCTTTCTTTTTCTAAGGCTTGTTGTTAATTGTTCTTCTTTTTTTGTGAGTGGATGCATCTCTGCCTTACTTATTGACTTATTTATCGCACGGCTGATGGTTTCTATGTCTTTGATCATGGGAGATGTTGTGCTGTCTTGGGCAGGCCTAACTGTTTCAGGTGTCTGGGCTGGAGTTGAAGAAGCCAGGGGAGTCGTAGAAGCCTTCAGTGGGTGTGAATGATAACGATGGAGAATCACAGACAATGCCTACGCTGTGCTCACTACAACTGCTATCATGCGGTATGGGAAAATTTGTGACTGGTGTGCTCTGACTGATTGTGTCGGTATGAGCTGCGATGTGACTGTCCTGAACCATTGTGTCTGAATGTTGTACATCTACGTGCTATTCACAGACTGGTACAACAGACTGAGGGTGGGTGTGGCAAGTCTGGCTTGTACTTGTGAGTGGGTCCTTTTTTTGTGTTGAGTCTGTGCTGAGAGCACGGGTACATACACATGTACATGTACTCTGTGTGGTTGTGTCCGTCTCAGAAATGTTGGTGTTAGGACTAGCTTGGCGTGTTTATTTTCTTGACTGCTGGAGTGAGACTGGGGGTCACGAGGCTTTACTGTGGCACAGCCAAGAGAGAGCAGCCTTTTCTATTCACAGACTGTGCACGTTTTTGCATCACAGTCCTCACTGTAAGCACATCAAGTGTCATCATTGATACTCAACCCAAACACAAGGAACAGGTCACTGGCTATTTCCGAACATAAATACGGCTTTTTAATGGATTTTCTCTGCTTCCCAGTAATGTTCAGTCTTCCGCACACTCCACACAGACAGTTTAAAGCGGATACATGACTTTCAGGGGGAGTGCTCCATTTTAAGGTCTTCGTTGTATACGGCAATAGCATTAGTAAATTCGCGGGCCTAACATAATAATCTGATGTAGCTTAACAATCACAACTGCGGTAGTAGGCCTACCTACTGAAATTTACACACTTAAAACAGGATTTCTTATCGAACACACAAATATATATACAAATCCCAAAAATATTCAATGCACCGTTTTGTCACAATAATTGATTATTTATCCTCAGTTTGAAATAAGAAAAGCGTGTTACACAGGCAGCAAACAGACACGAGTAGAACACTTGGTATGACACATAGAAGACTGAGACTTTCTTTAGGAGCAGGAGAAATGGTGCTGCTAAAGTCTATTATAAATTAAAACTACTTGGTGGGTCTAACGGAACCACTGTAATTGAGATAGTAATTTAGACAATTTTATCAAGAACACACCCCAGTTTAAAACGGTGCGAAGAGGTCAAATGACCCCAATAAAAAAGGTCAACAGGTACAGCGCGGAGTGATTAATCACATCCGGACAGCAGGAGCTGCGGTGCTAAAAGACGCGATTTCGGCTGATTTTGTGCGCAGTGTCCTAAACTTTTACATGACATTTGAAAACTTGCTTCTAATGCACTTGATCTGCCTTCCCCCGGCACCTTTCAAAACAACTGAAGCAGCTCTCGGAGCGGTCGTGACCCTATTCCTGTGAATACTAATGTCTGAATATATAATCAACGTGACATATTACACATTTTTCAAAGAGTTCTCCGCCGACGGTAACGACGATGGCGCTACCGGGGCTGTTTCCACTACAGAGTTGTTCTCTGGGAAAGACAACACCTCAGCAGGGCTCGGGACGTCGGGAACAGACGGGTTTTCTGGGGCTGCGAGCGAGACCTGCTGGTTGCTCAGCGCCGCTGCGTCAAGATTCACCATGCTGGAAGTGTCGGAGGAGGCTGCGCTGAGGCTCTCTAGCACTTCGGCCGCTTGCTGGGCCTGAGCTTCCTGTGCCGCCAGGGCTTCCTTCTTGGCCGCCTCGATGGCTGCAGCTTCCGTCTCCCTCTTCCGCCGCTCTTGGTGGTCGACGAAGTTGAACATGAACCTCTGGTTGAACTGGACATAATTGTCTGTGCACACTTCAATGCAGGATCTCTGGCGAAGCAAAGAAATAATTCAGTTTTAGTTTTAGTAAGTGTTTTATGGCATTTGCAACACAATAAGGTCATATAAGTGCCGAAGATTAGAGGTGTTACAAGAGAGTAACAAACACAAAAAAGAAGGAGGGGAGATAAGGATGATAGATGTTTGATAGGAAGGAAGGAGGGGAGATAAGGATGATAGATGTTTGATAGGAAAGAAGGAGCAAACCACACCAGAGAAACCGCCAACCACCCACAAAGAAAGAATGAGGATGAAGATGTCAACAAGAGTCAAGAGTGACAAAGTCTAGCACGCAAATAGTGAACAAACACATAGCGAACATACAAACAAAGCAAACAGATTTTCAAGGGTCATTTTTTTCATTTGTGTGTATGTATTCTTTGTATTAAACGCATACAAGGCGGGGGGGGGGGGGGGGGAGCTGAACTGAATAACATAATTAAACAACAGCCTACCTGTATTACCTGTCCTGGGCAACAACGTCATAGCACACCGGACAGGTCCATAAGTGCTCAGTTCCCCCCAGCACCAAAGCCCGCAAGGTATCCATACGGATTGTTCCGGTGGCTGTCAGATTATGGCGACGTCTTTCCTTTCCAGATAATCGTTCCTTTCTTCCTTCTCCCCTCTCTATCCCCATTTCCCGCATCCTAATGATTGCGTGGTGTTCTGCCATGAATCACTTAACTGTCAATATTATTATCAACTCAAGTGTTTAGAAGACGTTTCAAGTAAAACAGAAAAGCACTGTACCTCTTGTCCAGACGCGCTTCTTTCATTGAAATTGGAGACACATTTGTTGAAACAATATTCTGTGATTGTGTTGTACAGAGTCAAGAAGTCTTTCAGCTGAAACAATCAAAGACAAACCATGGGATCAAAATCAAGGCAGATGGAAAAACAGCGCCTTTTACATATATAAAAGATAAGGTTTTTATTTTTTAAAATATGTACACACATAAAGCAAGTTTTAAAGAATTTTTTTTGGGTCATGATTAGCCTCTACAAAAACAAAAAACATAAGTATCACATGATACTGTCATGCAAATGGGCAAAGCGCATTCTAAAAGAAAGTTGACGTGGTCATTTTTACAGATGACTGTTTTTAAAAGGTGTCATTAAAGTACGCTAGACTGTACATGATAAATGAGTAAAACAAGACCCAGAACAGCCTAGGGGCGAAAACTGTCCACTGTCTCATCATCAAGGGGCAGGTCTTCTTGCTTGTTGGAAGCTACTCTCTTAGTATAAAACTTCATATATGGAAGGGGCACCTTTTCTTAGTTTTCTCGCTGTGTCTTTTCAGTTTTCGCTGTGTCTTCTGTCCTGTTCTCTGTCAAGTCAATCTGTCAAATGGAACATGGGTCTGATCTGGCAAATTACAAACCCTCTGATACTCCATGGAACTAGGTAACAATGCCTGAATCCAAAATATCAGAATGGCCTCTTCACGTTGGATATGGCAAAAATATGAATGTAAAGAACACTTACACCTCTCTGGTTTGCCTCATTGGCAAGAGTTGACGACATGCTGAGGTCAAAAGTCAAAACTGTAGTCACAAGTGTTCACAAACTTTTTCCAAACTCAGGGAGCAGTTTTGTCTCTTGCTCTCCGTATGAAAAGATACCAATCTGGAAAAGCCAGTAAAATTCATTTATGTTGATAAAATATGAAAAATATAACTTTCAAATTAAAATGTGTTATGGAACTTTGTTACACAGCATAAAAAATAAACTAATTAAAATGTGTTAAATGGGGGGGAGGGCGAGGGTGATTACCAAAAACAAGCTTTGTTTATTATAGTGTCCTTTTAGAAAATACTGATCGGCATCATCTGTCTAAAGCAGTAGTGGGTAAATTAATAGCAACCATTCCAATCAGTGTGAGTGTAAGGGCCATAGTGTAAAGGACTGAAGGTGTGGAAAGAAAAGAATTTTGTAACACGCTGCAAGTGTGTGTGTGTGTAGTAAAGGCGTGAGGGGTGGGGGAGGAATGCAAGCCAACATAACTGACAGCTTCATGAAAGATTATCTTTATAATGTATGTTTGATAATTTTATGATACTTGCATAAGTTTTTTAATTTTTTTATTTTGCCGATCTTCTTGATTTTTAAACTATATACAACGTAAAACTCTTAAATAATTGAACAGTCCCTAGGCTTTCTCAGTTGCCTAGAACAGTTCGTATCACACACAGAATTTAATTTTTTTTCTCCCTGTCATTCTTTCCGTCATCCCGTCTGTTGATCACAATCTCTCTCTCTCTCTCTCTCTCTCTCCCTGCCTGCCTGCCTGCCTGCCTGTCTGTCTGTCTCTGTCTCTCTCTCTCTTTTATTCAATTTTTCCCATTCTCCTTCGTCCCTTCCCAAGGCCCGCCCCTCCTCTTTAATCCCAGCCCCATCCCCTCTTCCTTGCGTGCATTCCCCCACCCCACCCACCCCCACAACGTGGCCCAGCCCGATAAGATTCTATAAAAAGAAACGCCACAGTTCATGATTTAGCCCACACTCGGCGGCCATATTTGATCCCCACCGCTGCGTACTGCTCGTGGCGCCGCAAAGAGAGAGAGGAGGCTCCATTAGTTTTAAACTCCTTGGGGTTGGGTAAGGTTAGGGCCTAGGGGTAGGGTTAGATCTATGTAACCGTTAGGTCTCTGGCTTCGATCTTCTTTACTGAATTACAACTTGTGTTTGTTGGGGTGGTCGCTCATTACAGAAGCGGAGTGTCTACATACACGGTAGCCAGGCACGTAGTCTCAGTATCTACATACACAGTAACCGGGTGCTTAGTTTCAGGGGCCCCTTGTGCTAGGTGCATGGTAAACGCTTTGCTCCCTTCATGACCATGACTTCTTTCATTTTCCCCGCTTTCCAGTTGTATTTATTTGTATCTGTAAAATTTTGAACTCAAATAATGGAACACACTCGTCTTGTTTCCTCATGGACAATTGTGAACCCAAATAATACAACACACTCAAGGCTTCCCCCCCCCCCCCCCCCCCCCAAAAAAAACAAATGCATCATCGTTGTTAATTTTTTGTCCCTCTATATATTCTTTTATAATCTTCAATTAGTAACATACATATGTATCACGGCACCCACTTTAAGTCCAAGTGTCCAAAAAATACCCCCACCCCCTCCCCTCGGTCATCCCACACTGGTTAAGTCCCGAAAAACACCTGATGATGGACCTTAGAATCCAGAACTCCGACTCCGACAAAGCTTTGTTTTAAAGTTAGAAACGGAAGAACAAAGAATAGATTATTTTTAAGCCTCTCATAATTGTTACAGTAACCAGGCCATCATGGCGCTTTTTCGGTGGTCCCCACCCCGCAATTGTTATTCGGCGGTCTTGGCCCTAAGAGTAGGGGGGTTTCAGCTATAAATATGGTGGGGGGGTTCAGGGGGGCATTTTACCATAATTCGATGTTTTGCAGTTGTTAGGTTTGATATCTTAGCTCGCCGCGAATCAAACGTATAAATCTCGATGTAGATCTAGGCTCAAATTTAAGGGGGGTGGGAACTACCGAAAAAGCAGTGCCGCCAATATTGGAGAATTCTGGGTAACAAAAGCGAAAGAAGTCATGGTCATGAAGGGAGCGAAGCATTTACCATGCACCTAGATCTAGATCAATGGGCCCCCGAAACTAAGCACCCGGTTACCTTGTAGCTGTAGGCCTACGTAGATACTGAGACTACGTGCCCGGTTACCGTGTACGTAGACATTCCCCGTCTAAAAGTGCACAACTAGATCTAGATTCTAGATCTAGATCAAACCCAAACACAACCGGCTAAACTAAAAAAACCTCTAGATTAAACATTTGACTTTGACTGGTTTGTCCTGAACCCCTGTAGACTTCTAGGCCTACTGTGCTCATTAATAATTACTGACCTCCTAAAGACTGAAGTCAAGAAATATTATCGTATCGAATGAGTGAATGAGTCTTGGCCTTGCCTTGGTGTTTTACTTTTGAATGGCCTCTTACCCGAAAGGTGTAGATCTAGACCCTCTAATATAAGATGCAAAATTAAAAGGGTGCAATTTGGTCGAGGGACAAAACACTGAAACATGTGAAGGTTACGATAATATCAATAATTCAGTGTTGCATCAAGCTGTCTCGCACAAAATCGAAAGTAGGCTTTGTAGGACGGACATCCATGTGTTGTTTTAGTTTGTAGGTCATAAAACCTGGACAGGCTAGGCCTACCCTATCATGATTGTAATCTTATTAATATTTCAAATTATTTTAATAATGACCCATAAATAAGTATTAGCTATCAATACTATTCTATCTTATTTTTAGAGTGCTAATATATCTAAATTATAATTTTTAATTATTTATCTTTTTTGCCTATCCAGATATATGAATTATCCGGTGTTATGACGTCATCTCCACGTCGATAGAAACCGATTGCAAAAGTGGTAAACAAAGAACGATGCTCAAATGTGTTTAATGGAATTTTTGCCCAAATGTTATAAATTAGATTAATATCGGACATTGGACATATATCCTAGCCACAAGGCACTGGTCCTTGAAACGCATCTCCCTGTAAAAGAGACTTTTTAAAGGGGTAATTATTTCCTTTCACGGCATCCCCAATTTTCGATAATGATCAATAACATTCTTCTGCTAGCCTAACTAAACACTCTCAAACTGTTTAAAATAGATCCTACTTCATCTAGCATCCTTAGTTTATTCAAATGTAATATTTGAAATTGTGAAAGTAATCAATGCTAATGTTTATCTATGATGGAGGTACTGTAATTGTGCACTAAGTTTATTTTAGACTCTTTATCATTTTTGATTTTATTTGAGGTGCACACAGGACAGGACACCAGGGCCTGACACAAGCGGATAGAGCTAGAATCTAGATTCTAGATCTAATATCTAGATCTAGATATCTAGAGAACGACAACTAAACACCATTGGCCAATATTTATAGTAACAACCATCTTGTTTGACATCATTGAGGGATTCCCACTTTGTCAGTCATAGTCATAGTGTGGCATCACGACCGCACGACTGCAGCCTACCGACTCCGACTCGGATTAGGAACATATTGTCTTTGCAACTTGCAGAACTGTTCGGTTTGGTCGTCTGTGATTGTGCAGCACCCTTCTTCTGCCCAGATTGATTCTGATGCTGTACACTACGTAAACTGAGAGAAGAAGAAGACTAAGAGTAGGCCTATGTATGAAAGCAAGTTCAAACAAAGTTCAATGATTGTTTTGGCCCGGATCTTTTCTTTTGAAGTTTTGTAAGCACAAGAAATTAAGCACTTATGTAAATAAGAGATTAGACTCAGTAGGACCCTGAGCTGCAAATGGAGTAGATCTAATTCGAGACTTCAAGGTTTGCAAATGGATACTGTGAGGTGCAAAAGCTGTAGTCTGTACTAGGGGGAACCACAAGGCCAAGGAAAGACTCAAAAGAGGGAAGCTTGGAAACTGCCAGTGCAAACCGTGCGCTACGCAAAATCATCACTATTTTTTAGAATCACGATAAGATGACGCGGCGGGCATCCCCCTTGCAGGGTCAAACAAGATGGCTGTTACTATAAATATCGGCCAATGGTGTTTAGTTTAGTTGTCGTTCTAGCTATCCGCTTGTGGGCCTGATTCGACTGATTTCTAAGCTCCATAAAGATGTAGGCTACTTTTACCTTGGCCTCCTAATCCTGTACACTGTCAGTGTACTTACTAAATTAGCTAAATGTTACCCAATTATTTTAATGTCTATACCTTACAAATAATATGGAAGAACAAGTGAAAATAAAGTCGAGATCTAGATTCTAGTTCAAACTTAATGGTGAATACTGGAGTTGTACTTATTTAACTTATTATGAAATTTTCTGCTTGTTATTTACAAACATATACAATGACAGTTTGAATCTTGAGGTGTACTTCTCATCAAACTGACACCAGTAACGAATCATATAAATCCTTTTATATGTTGCTACCCTCACTAGTTGAAATAATTAGTTCTGATTTATTTTCACCCTTTTCAAGTATACGTGAAGGACACTCATTCATCATTTCTGCAATGATAGAAATCGCATCTTTCATCAGTTTATCATGATGCTTTCCTGTCAATTGTGTGCTGCTGTAAGTCTTCGATAAACAGCCACCCTGTCAATTTGTCGCCAGTTCAAAAGTTCTGCTCCTCTGTCTCCTTCGTTCACAGTCATTAAGTTACTGTCTTCTCTTGTGTGTCCTTGACATTATTTTTTCTCTATATTTTCTCCTCATCCACCACAGCTCGGCACCAGTACTCATTTACCATCGCCCCCAAATGTTACTTTTAGATCTAAGTCAGCCCGTCAGTATTCCTAAAAGATTTGATTCAGTTTGAGAGTGAGACAAAATATCATCATCACTGCCTTTTTCACCCTGCACCAGGGTATAGGCCAAGGACAAACACTTTCCAGCTTTCTCTTCCTGAGCTGCCTCTGATGTTGCTCCATCTTCCCACTTTGCTGTACATCAATGTCTGTGATTCTTCTCCAGGTTCCATGTGGTCTTCCCTTTGATCTTTTACCCTGTGGATTCCAGTCTAACACTTTCTTTGCTTAAATATGCAGCTTCCTGACGTCCAATTTATCGGGATCTGTCTTGTTTTCCGTAACACTTCCTCGTTGGTCACCCTGTCTGTCCATCTGATCCTCAGTAACTTTCTGACACTTGATCAAGAAAACCTGGATCAGTTTTTACCTGCAAGTCTGTGATGCGTTCCATGTCTCACACCCATACAGCAGGACGAGACAAAATATATATTATAATGTGACTTCTGGCTAGAATGTGTAAATTGTCCTGTTGACACTCCATTCGCTCAGTATCGTGCTGGACTATGGAGAGGATGACCCAGGTTTGAATCCCAGACCGGGCATTCTTGAACTCTGGTCGTTTTGAGGAGTTTTTCAAGGCGCTCAACCCATTTGGCTTTGTCTTTTTGGAGATGGACATTAAATTCAGAGGTCCTGCCTCTTAAATGTTGTTACAGGCATTTAACTCATACACACTTACTAAACAATGACTTAAACGAATGAAAGTGAAATGAGAGGAATTCTTTCACCTTTCATTGAACTGAAGGCTCCGTTGAATCCAATGTCATTGGATGTAAGCTTCACTCTGTTCTTGTGTTGTGAGCATCAGTTGTGGTTCCCTTCTGTTGCTAATTATACTATGAGCATTATCAATTTAAAAAACATGTAGGATGAAAATACAATTTTGCGTTGATCGAGAATTTGTCATGAGTGCTTCAAAATTTTCAGTGATCTCAGCGTCAAGAGTTCATAACAGATGGGCAGTATACATGAAAGAGAAATATTTTCAGAGTATTTATTATGTTCAGAGCTAGTTATATGAACCTACAATAGAATTCGGGTTTGTGTTGACTGTATGATAGTTGATGGGACTGCATCAGTACTGTGAGCAAGGGATAATATATAGATGAGGCAGTAATATGGTACCTTTTAAGGACTAGTGGGCCAACCCAAATTTCGGGGGTTTCCAGAAATCTTGACCTGCATCAAAAGTGGGCATTGCCCTACCTTTAGGAGAAGTTTGGTTTCATTGGTGTGTCTGTTTGTTTGGAAAACTCATTGTCTTTAAAAGAAACTGAAGAAGGGGCAAGGACTTTTTTTACCTTCGATTTTCTCAAAACAGCATTTTTTGGGATAGCCTTGTGGTTGTTGTTGTTGTTGTTTTCAAATCCCTTTAGCTGCGAGCATTTCGCTCTTGGCAGGCCCTTGTGCTTAAAAGTGACCATAGTAAAAGAACATTTTGTTTTGTGAGCAAGGGATAGATGAGGCAATAATAGTAAAAAGAACGTTTTGTTTTGTTCCATCAGGCCTCATCATGACAGATCTGGGCAAACCTTCCAACCCGGCAGAGGACGACAACTTCGAAAGGGACCTGCAGGAGATGCTAGAAGATGGCCCGAGCCTGAACGACGTCACGGCCAACGTGCAGGGAGGCACGCCCAATTCGGTGTCGGCGGCGTTTGCCGAGACGGTCGAGCCCTTCTCCGCGGGCGCCAGCAGCGGCGGTGGTGGGAGCGGAGCGCAGGCCGGAGCTGGGGGTATTTACGGCTCTAGTTCCGCTGGATCTCGACTAACTCGCTCTTACACTGTCCCCCCTGGTGTGTTCTCACTTGTTATTTCACTCTCCGTCGTAACGCTTCCGCTTGTTTGTGTGCGATTGGTCGCTTTTAAGGACAAGCCGGCTAACCCAGATTTTGGGGGTTTCTAGAAATCTTGAGCAACAAAAGTGGGCATTGCTCTACCTGTACCTGTAGGAGATGTCTGGCTTCATTGGTGTGTATATTTGTTTGGTTATAGAGAAAACTCCTCGTCTTTTAAAGAAACTGAACAAAGAGCAAAAACTTTACCTTTGATTTTCTCAAAACAGCATTTTCGGGATAGCCCCCTTGTGCTTAAAAGCGACCTATTGTGTTGTTGTGCAGACCCTTTTCTGTGGCTCGAATGTATTTATTTATAACACGCACAGTTTCAAGTATTTCTCACCCACCAACATATATATATTATATTCTATATTTTCATTTGGTGTAGTCGCTGTTTGCTCTCACATGGTGTTGTGGGGAAGTACTCACATTTATGTTGAGCTTATCAGAACTTTGTTTCTTCAGCTCTCCTCCTTTCTTTCCTCCTTCCCTCTCTTTCTCTCTCTCTCTCTCCCTTTC